CCCCCCCCTCCGCTCATGGGCGCGTCCAGCCCCCGCTACTGCTGATGTCCCCCCCACCACGACGGGGCATGGACTCGCCCGATGCCAGGGAATCCCTGGGTGGGGGGACAAGGGACCCCTGGGACCTCCTGGGACCCCGGGGGGGGTGACAAAGGACCCCCTGAGACCCCGACAGGGGGGACAAGGGACCCACTGGGACGCCGGGCAGAGGTGACACGGAGTAGTCCCCTGGATCCCCCTGAAACCCTTGGGGAGGGATGACACGGAGCCCCCCGAGAAGTGGTGACACAGAGCCCCTAGGAGCAGGGGGACACCCCCGACATCCCATCCAGAACCCCGAGGGATGATGTGTCCTGGAGCTCCACGGAGTGATGTACCCTGGTGTCCCCAAAGTATTGCCCCCCAAACACCCTGCAGCACACAGATAAGCCCTGGCTCCCCATGTCCCCCCAAGCATTGCACTCCTCCCCGATTGTAATTCCCTACCCCAATTGCCCCAAAACCACCCATCTGGGGTGTCACCTTTTCTTGTCATTCCCAAAAAACAACCCCCCTTTCCAACCAGCACCTCTCTGTGCCTGCTGTGTCCTAGTACCAGTACAACCATCCTTACAGACACCCTTTATTCTCTTTACACCAGAAATTCAGGGAGTTTTGCCTCCTCTGCCTTATCCTGCTCAGCCCAGAGATTCCAGCCTTGTCTGGCCTCTGACACCCTTTCCCAGTCTTTTCCTATTTTACTGGTGTGTCACCATTGCCAAAGATCTGAGCCAGCACCCCCAGCTTCCAGGGAGCAGGAGCAGGGATTTTGAGTCCTGCACAGAAAACCTCCAGGGATCTATAAAGGACTGAGGTCATCATAACGCAGTGAAGGATCTGGAGCCAAGCTTTATTGAACCGTGAGGGGCACATGGCTGGAAACCCATTAATCACACATCCCTCAGCCGAGGGATGCACATTCTGCTCCTCCTGCATCCTCCTGCCTCACCATCCAACCCCAGGGCAAGGAAGAGCTGCCCCGTGGCGTGACAAGAGTTTGAGTAAACATTAAGGAAAACTGAATTTCCTGTGGAGGCTCTGGTTCCTCCCCACCAGAACATTAATCCTCATCCCCCAGTGCTAATCTGTGACGAGCTCCCTGCATCGTGTCCATCCCCGTTAATCACCCCAGCTCCTCATCCCCGGTGGAGAGTGGGATAAGACCCCTTGTCTGCATCTTATTTTAATTACACCAGTATTTGCCAAGAGCAGCATAAAGCTCAAAATCTGAAGCTTTGGGGTGTGATGGAGACACGGGGCTGCTTGGAACAAACTCCTTTTCCCTTCCCAAAGAACCCCAGCGCTCAGGGGCTCTCACTCCCACCTCACTTTTAACCTGGTGCAGGTGAGAGCATGTTCCAAAGCGTTCTTCCCTTTTTTCCCCAAAAAACAAATCGGACTTTGCTCGCTGCCACAGAGCAAAGGCAAGATAAATAAATATGCTAGGCCATGGCCCAGCTGCCATGGGGAAGCAGCCAGTGGGAAGCATTTTAGCTGACCTTGATAAAGTTCTGATGGTTCCATGTACGGACATGTCTCCATGGCACGCGTTGTGCTGACAAGGAGTTGGCACCATCCCAATCCCAGGATCTTGTTTTTTGAGCCCCTGGACATGCTTTGAGCTTGCTAAGGCAGCATCAGCAATGGGAGCTGAAGGCCTGGGAGGAAAAGTGGATAGGATTGTTAAAAATCCCTGGCTTCCCTGTAGAAGGCTCCTAAAATGCATTCCTCCTGCTTTCCTTGTCATTTACTGAGTGAGACAGCCTCCTGCAGAGCTGCTGCTCATTGTCCTATCCCAGTCCATGAGCTTCCAAAAGGCTTTCCCAAACCCTCTCTTCTTCCAACAATTCACCTAAGGAAGGAGACATGTCCTGACAGTGTATCCTGTCCCTGCAACAGGCACCATCCTGAACATCTGGGTGCTGTGTTGGCTCCTTCCATCTCTCTTCCATCTCCTCTTCATCTCCATGAGCCTTCCCAGGGACTCCAAAGCCCCAGGAACACAGCAAGGCTATGATGAGAGAGGAGAGGGAAAAGAGATCTTCCCAGGATAGGATTTAGACACATTTTGCCCCCAAGACTCTTTCAGCCAACAAGGGGAGACATTTCACCCCAATGGTGCATCTCACCAGGCAGTGACCTGAAGCCTTGTATTTCCCTTGGGATGAAAGATCAGGTCAACAACCTGGAAAACACCCAACAGAGAGGTCAGGCTTCCTGGAGAAGGAGTGATGTGGAAGGGGAAAGAACGTGACATCACCTATTGTTCCTGCTCTCCAGCTTCCTCAGCTTCGCTCTCCCACTATTGTTGCACATTTTGAAGGCTGCAAAAGCTGAATGAAATCCACAACGATTCCCAAAGAGAGGAAGAGGGGAGCAGAGTTGTTTGGAAAGAAGGGGAGAGCTGCTGCTGATGTTTCTTGGTGGGTCCTCCTGACCTAGATCTTATTCAGATCTGGGCTGAGTCTGCTCCTGTGACCTGGTAGGAACCTGTGTTCCTCGCTGTGTTTTCAGCTTGGGTACCTCAGTGTTGGCATCTGCCCATGGAAACAGCTGCCTTCACACCCTCGTCCCTGGATACCTGTTTATTTTAAGCAAATCCCTGCTGGAGAAAACAATGTTGTACACACAGAGAGGCCAAAAGTAGCTGTTCACCCTACTGGAGAGGTCCTTTATTCACCCATCCATGAGGAATGCCTAAACTTCCCACCCTGGGCTGATGGTTGCTCAGTGAGGCTGAAGGCTGAATTTTATTTAAAAATTGGTGGGTACATCCCATGCTACTGGGACCTGCACAACCCCTCCCCACGGAAAACACTGGCTGCTGGGCATGTGGGCTCTGGGATGGCTTTGACATCCTGGTGCACACCAAGGAACCATCCATGAGCCATGATGCAGGATGGTGGAACCCCAGGAAGACCTGTCTCCATCCCTGGGCATTCAACTGGGCAAAGCCAACCCCAGAAATAAACCCAGAGCCAGCAGCTCCAAATAAAACCAAACAGAAAAGCTTTATGACTCACAAATCCCGCTTTCAGCATCCTAAGAGCCAAGGATCCATCCTTTAGGGCTTTCAATTTGCTTTTCCCTTATCCCTCCGTAGCATCAAGGAGTTATTTTCCTACTGTAACAGCGCTTTTAAGGAAATAATTCTGATTTCTCAGAGAGAAAACATGAATTATGCTGTGCTTGCATGGTAATAAACATGGTAGTCCCTTGCTGTGCCTCAAAATAATTGTTTTTCTTTCTTTTTACTCAGATTTATGGGATCCTGTTGTATTTATGGGGATCCCATTAATATTTCAGAGGAGTCCACCCTCCAGGCAATGGATGTTCATCCAGAGAATGAATTTGCTGCCTACAGAGCTCATACTGAAAAATTTATGACTAGCATGAGAAAGGGATAAAATGAGACCCTTTGAAAAGTTTCCCACTTTCACCTGGGGAGGGAAAATTAAGTAATAAATGATGATGGCAATAAAAAGCCTTCTACTCCATCTATCCAAGTTCTTCAGGCTAGAAGATCTTCATTCTTTTCTAGTGCTATTTTAGGAGGAGAGATATTAAAATTTCCTCTGCTCTGAAATTATTGTTTTATTCTTACCGCAAAAAAAAGCAGCCCCCAGGTCAAAGAAAATAAAAGAGTGAGTTACTTCAACAAGCTGAGATCTGCTTGTTTATACCACCCTGAATCTGGCACCACACACCCACAAACACAGGGTGGAGATGCAGGAGGCGATGGAGACACAACACACCAAGATCCTGCAAGCACAGGAAACGTGTCAAAAAATAGCAGTGCTGACCCTGAGTTACCCAGAGCTGTTTTGTTATAGCCACTGCTCTTTGTAAATGAAGAGTTTGGCCAAGAAATAGAGGGAGCTGAGGGTGACCAGGAGGTGGAAAGGATTTTTTAGATGTATCATTTGCAAACTGGTTCCGTGCAAGGAGAGAATTTGGTGCTGGTGGTGGAACTTCACTGCAGAAGTTCCTTTTGGCCTTTCCAACAGTGGGTGGAGCAAAGGGGTGGTTGCTGTCAGATGGGAGAACAAACCACTCTCCCTGAGAATAATTTATTGTCATGGCTTCCTCATTTCAACATATTTTGGGACATCTCCGGGTGCTATAGGATCGTGGAATAACTTGGGTTGGAAGGGACTTGAAGTCTTGTCTTTTTTGTCCAAATCAGATTTACCAGCATGGGATTTGGTCTGCAAAAAATCAGGATATTGATGTCTGGAGTGGTGTTCTGGTATCTCTCCCCTGACACCCTGGATGCTCTGGAGAGGTTCTTCAAAAGAAGGAAGAGCTTGGATATGACTTAGGATCAGAGGGAAATTCAGGTTGGAAGGGACCTCAGGATGTCTGTACTCCAACCTCCTGCTCAAAGCAAGGTCACCCATGAGGTCAGACCAGGTTGCTCTGGGCTGTCTTCAGTTTGCTCCTGAAAACATCCAAGGATAGAGACACTGAAACCTCCCTGGGAACCTCCCTGGTACCCCAAACCTCGAAGATATCCCTGGGATCTGCTCCTCTCCCACTGCTAGCCCAGAGCCTTCATCTACCCACCCTCAGCATTCCAGGTGTGTGGCCACCACCTCCTGGAGCCAACCATCCCTACCCTCATCTTTTTTTTTCTCCTGTTTTTGAACCTCAGGTGACCAGAGGAAGCCAGGCCCCACAGCATTTGCTGTGTGGCCTTCCCTGCATCTCCAGGAACAACTTCCCACCTCTCCCATCCCGTTTCCTCTGGAGCATAAATCCCTCTCTTCACTGGCTCATTGCAGGAGCCTCCTCTCAACACCGCCTGAGGACACACTGCTTAAAAACTGATTTAAGCCAGCATCCCCTGATTTTGCAGTTCCCCAGCTCGCTCTCAAGTCTCTGCCTGTTGGCCTGGGGAGAAGCTGCCACTTGAGGCAGAGCAGCATCTTCAAAGGCTGGATGTGCAAGGGAAGAGCATCTCCAAGCCTCTCCATGTTGGGCAGAGCTTCTCAGCCGGTGGTCCTGGAGAGCTCTGGGCTCCTCCTAAGGCATCCACAGGAGATGATTAAGAAAGTAAATTGGCCAGGATGCTTCTGCTCACTGTAACTCCATTGCATCACACTGCAGAATTGTTAGGGTTTCTATGAAGATATGAATCACAGAATTCCAGAATGGTTTGGGTTGGAAGACACTTTAAAGATGATCTCGTTGCACCTCCCTGCTGTGAGCAGAGCCACAGCTTCTCTGGGCAACCTGTGCCAGGGCCTCACCACCCTCAGAGCAAAAAACTTCTTCCCAATATTCCATCTACATGTCCCCTCAGTCAGTGTGAAGCCATTCCCCTTGTCCTGGCACTCCAGGCCCTTGCAATGAACGAGCCATGAAAACTTCTCCTGCTTTTCCTCTCCCAAAGAGACTCACAGAAGCTCTTTCTCTCTAAGACCATTTCCCTTCATCTGTCACCCACCATTTTCCCCAGAAATCAGTCAGAATTTCTCCTTAGGAGGAATTTTGCATTCCTGGACTCTGTTTTCAGCTTGCAATGTTTTCTGTCTCAGAAATGTGAGCTGAGAATGCCGGGGACGTCAGGAAGGGAAAATCCATCTAAGCTTTTCATCTCCTTTTGTCAGCATTTAATTTAAGTAGGATTTTCATGCTGCTGATTCATCTCCAAGAGCTTCCCACCCACCTCCCTGTTCATTCCAGTGCTTCCCACATCCTTTGCAAGAGGAGGGAGCCACTAGCGCTGCAGTGGGATCAGTGACCTAATTCCTCTGAAACCCTCCTTTTTCTCCAAAGAAGAACATTCATGTCCTCAGGCTCCATCACTGATTTCCACCCTGCAGAGTCACCACTGCCTCTAAATCTCCTTTTGAGCCTCGTTCATGGCAAAATGCAGCTCCTGAGCGGGCTCCCTGCAGCGTTTCCGGGATATCCGACGGAGCGGTACCTTGCTGACCACTTCACTCTGTTTGTTGGCTCCAGGGGAAGGAAACAACAATGAGATCACTTGGAAAGATGGTTTTTTTCCTTCAGATTTGGCTTGCCCAGTGGAAATCCAGGAGTGTGGTCAACAAACGGCAAGCAGAGATTCCCTTCACCCTCTGCGGAAACTGAAATTAAACTCATTTTCAGTCATCCATGAAAACAAAGGTGATGATAATTACAGCCAGCAGCACTCCATCCTCCTCTTCCATCCTGCCTCGCTCCGGAGGGAGGAAGGCTGAGCTCACAGTTTGGTGGAGGGGCTGTGGGAACCAGCAGGGACAAAACTGGGACAAAGCCAGCAGCCGGAGCACCGCGCCGGGCTCAGCTCCCAGGTTTTGTTCAGTGATGGATGGGGACGAGCGCATTGTGTCCCCCGGAGCCATTTAATCATGGATTTGATGCTCGGCATGGATCCTGGAGCTCTACCAGAGGCACACTGGGATGTGCTCAGCAAGGCCTCTCCGCGTGGCAGCATTCCGGCCTCGCGAGCCGCCGCATCCCTCCGCTACCAAGACAAATTAGAGGAACACGGCTCATTTTATGGCTTGCTCCGAGCAGGTCAGCCTGGAGGCTGCCACCACAAAAGGATCCTCTGCAGATCAAATGTGCAGTTACAGAGATTTGGGAGGGAATGCACATGAAAAAAACGTTGCATTTGGTCAATTCGCCGCCTCTCAGCGCGCGGCGTTTTCGCAGCTGCAGGCAAGGGAAACAGAGCTGCTCATTTAATGAAGCTTTGGGAAGGAAAGCTGTGGAGAGCTTCCCCCTTCCCAATTATTCTTGTGAAATATACAGCTTGGGAAAGCACACAGTCCCAACGAGATGTAAATCTGGGGTTAGTAATAAAATCTTGTCTAGAACAGCTGGAAAGGGAAAAGCTCCAACCTGTTGCTTAACATGCAACATGAGGAAATCGCCACTGAAAAAAAGCGCTGGCAACAGGATCCAAAAGAACTCCATTCCAGCATTGGCCAGCAGCCTTTGCTGTGTTTCATGAGCTAAAAAAATCTTCAGAGAACTTAAGTGAGCTCTAGAAGTAAGACCTCACTGTGAAGAGCTTCCTGGGAAGCCACAGCAGGGGCATGGACAACTGCAGAGGCTCCTGTGAGCTGTTTTGGCCCCACATCTTAAGAAATGAGAGCCCAAAATCTGCTTTTTGGCTGCTCTCTGCTGTGGGACTGAGTGCTGAGTGTTGGAAGGGTCGGGCTTTGCTGGAGCTACTTCTCCATGACTCAAGAAACTCTAAATCTTGCATCACCCCAGCCCCTTTCAGTGGCTCCCATCACTTTTTTTTTTCCCCAGATAACTGCAGGGAGAGCCACTGGTCTGTGCTGTGGGACAAGCAGGAAGCACTTGGGCAGGTGATGATTTCAGAGAATCAAATTATAGAATCATTGAGGTCGGAAAAGATTTTAGAGAAAATCACTAAGTCCAAGAATTAACTCACCACCATGTTCACCACTAAACCATGTCCTCAAATGCCACATCCCTATGGCTTTTAAATACCTCCAAGAATGGTGCTTCCACTCCAGCCTATGCCAGGGCTGGAAAGCCCTTTCCACGAAGAATTTTTCCCTAATATCCAATCTAACCCACCCTGGAGCAACCTGAGGCTGTTTCCTCTTCTCCTGTCCCTTGTTACCTGGAATATTTCAGATTATTTCACCTTTGCCAGCCTCACCATGTTGTCACATACGGGCCAAATTGAAAGATCTTGGGCTTTCACAAGAAAAAAAATCCGGATTTGTTAAAGACAGCATCCCTGATTTCTCATCCCTTTGGCATGGGCAGGAATTGTGTCACTCCAACCCGCAGCACAAAAGCCTTTGTGGGCTCTTTATGCTTTGCACTAAACCAGCACCAGCCTCTACAAGACGGTGATTTAGAACTCTCTATCTCCCCCAGGGCAATCCCAGCCGGCTCCAGAGCGATTCCAGCAGGAATGGCTTTCCCAGCGGGTGTTTGCAAAGTGCTAAGGCTCAGCTGAGCAATATCTCAGTGGGGAATCCCATAGCCCTTAATTTATCGATTACCATTAGCAGTGATAATACTAATAACAGCAGCAGAGATTAAAATATTCTCTGCACAGGCACAGAGAGCTTCCCAGAGTTCTGCCAGCTGGGAAAAGGCTGAGAAAGCTTTCTGGAAGTGGTGTCTCTTTGTATTTCACCCCAAAGACAGGACCCACCTCCTGAAATCTGTCAGTGGGATGGAGGCACCTGCTTTTCTGTTCCCAGAGAACACTCAGCCAGCTGGGCAGCCTCTTCCCGAGAGGTTTTCCCACCGCTGAGGTTCACACTTGCCAGCTTTCCTCGGGGAGGGGGCACTGTGGGCCCTTTCTGGGGGTCCTGTGTGACACCCGGTGGCAGCAGCTGGGTTACGGATGCGGCTCCGCTCGCCGCCTGCCAGCGATGCACAAAGTGATGCCTGGGACCTGCTCACAGGGGGATGCAGGGCACACGAGCCAAACTGCAATCACGGCTTTCATCCGAGTAAAAGCTCATTGTGCTTCTGAGAGAGGGGGAAAAAAGCCCTTTTTAAATAAATCACAGGCTTTTCTTCTCAACCTTCTTCAATGGGAAAGTGCAGTGAGTCAACCGAGGCTGTTACAATAACTCCAAAAAATGTCCTTCCTGCAGATATTGAAAATGAAAACACGAAATTAATGTGCCAGTCTGTTTTTGCCCACAATCCAGTGCAGCTCTATCAGATGTGCAAATTGCCAGCATGTGTGCACCAGCTGAAGTCCCCCAAAAATAGGAATGCAGCATTTATTAAGTTGTTTTAGGCTTGGAGCTGCCTATGCTTGCACTGAACATGGTTGGGAGATTTGTGGTGTCTCTTGATCAGGTTGTCCAGAGAGATTGTGGATTCCCCAGCCCTGGAAGTGTCCAAGGCCAGGTTGGATGTGGCTTGGAGCAATCTGGGATGATGAAAGGTGTCCCTGTCCATGGCAGGGGGTGGAAAGGAATATTCCAATGTGCCAGGACCACACCACCCTCACAAAAAATTTCTCCCAATCAGTCTAACCCTCTCTCCTATCAGTCTAACCCTGCCCTCTGGCAGTGGGGAGCCATTCCCTGTGTCCTGTCCCTCCATCCCTTGTCTCCAGTCCCTCTCCAGCTCTCCTGGAGCCCCTTTGGGCCCTGCAAGGGGCTCTGAGCTCTCCCTGGAGCCTTCCCTTCTCCAGGTGAACATTCCCAGCTCTCTCAGCCTGGCTCCAGCCCTCAGAGCAGCTCCATGGCCTCTTCTGGATTTGCTCCAGCACTTCCAAGTCCTTCTGCTGTTGGACCTGGAGCTGGAGCAGCTCTGCAGGTGGGGTCTCACCTGAGCAGGGCAGAATCCCCCCCTTCCCCTGCTGCCCACACTGGGGGATCAGCTAAGCATGGATGGGGCATGTCCAGCCAAAAAGTCTCATGTCTGGCTTTCCCAAGAACCAAATCACCCACCCAGAAGCCCCAAGAGAGGCGTGGGTACCCAGCAGATGGATGAATACCTGTGTAAGTCTCTGCAGATGTGGGGGTGCTGCTCCCTGCATCCCCAGCTACGACCACGACAAGGCTCAGCCACACTGGGAACTTTTAAAGGCAGGAACTGGGGAACAAGGAGGTGATTTGGGACAAAACTTTGTCAAATCCCTGAAAAAAAAAAAAAGAATGAAATTGCACAAACTGATGTCAAAATTCCTGTCCCTCTTGAACCCCTGGTGAGCCATGAGTGTGTGGCACCAGCATGGGTGGAAAGGAAACCTCCAGTGTCCTTAACTGGGAAATAAATCCCCGGTGGGTGTCTCGCCTCTGCTGCCCAGTTTTATATCTGGAACTAATTTCACCGTCATTCTGATGAGTGACGAGATGATTGCTGCAGCTGGGCTATTCAGCCTGCTCCAAAGAACCCCCTTTATTTTCCATTAATTCAGGCAGTGATTACAGACTCCCGGCCAAATTTATTTCTGCTGCGTGTAACACCATTAAAAGCAGCTCCTTCACCCTGGGGATGGGCTCAGCCCAGCAAAGCCCTCGCTGTTTAAATCCTGTGTTCACGTTTCTTTGTTCTGTGGGAGACAAAGGAAAAGCGATTTTCCCTAGATTAAATAAATAAATAAACTAGGAAATGTGCTGCCTCCCTGTGCAAAAAAAAAAATAAAATTAAATGGACACTTAAATCACAACCCCAGGTAATTTGAAATAACCCCAGATAATTAGAAAAGAGCCAGAGTCAAGAAAGTGGCAAAATGGCAAAAAAAATCTGAAAAAATATCTGGATATATGAAAATATATGAATATATGAAAATATATGAAATATTCTCTGAAGAGCGCTGGGCCAGGGGAAGGAGAGCACAGTGCATGATGCTGACAGAGCTGGGGACAATGATCACAAACTCTTCTTTCCCGACCAGCTGGGAGAGGTTTGGAGCTGAGGAAGGCTTTGTGCAGAGGAGGGGACTGTGTAAAAATTGTGTAAAAGCGAGACAAGAGCTGAAAAAGGAGGAGGGGATGAAGCTGCCCGGGATAATCGCTGGGAGAGCATCTGCAGGAACGTCCACAAAGCCTCTGGTGTTGATGCTCTCTTCATTTTTTGTTTCCTGCTCCTCTGTGTTCTGCTGGCAGCACAATAAAACAAGGGAAGGGCTGGGGATACAGAATGAGAATTGATTGCTGCTGCTTTTCCTAAGTGTAAAATAATAACGTGAGGAAGAAGGGCTGTTATAAGTGCATATTATTGGATTTTCACAAATATTATAATGAATGTTATGTATAAGGTTAGAAAACTTGGTTGTACTAATATAGTTCCTTTTATTTCTGTCATTGATTAAATTTAGAAATAGTGGTATATTACGTATATATTAGGGTATAACATGACATTAAAGCACAAACTAATTTTTGTTTTGTTTATTTTCAGAGACTGAAAAGATAGTCAGAGACCCCCCTGAATTCTTAAAATTATCTTGTCCTCCAAGAGAAGGATTTATTGCATCCTTATCAGAGGGTAGAAAACCCCGTGGAGCCAAGGAGATTGATCTATTGGGAAGGGGGCAAGGTAAAAACTAAACGAAGGAACATCAACAACTTAAGAAGAATGTATGAATATGTAAGAGAATTTATGGATATATAGTAGGTTTTTAAGGGACAATCCTTTGTTAGTAAGGTGTGCTCTCTTGGCTGAATGCAGAGACACACAGCCGTATCTTATATACAAATATAAATATAATTATATAATATTTTTATTATATTATATTACATTATATTACATTATATTACATTACATTATATTATATTATATTATATTATATATTATAAAATATATTATATTTTAATATAGAATATAATTTTCAACCCTAATTTATAATATATATTTATATATATTTATATTTATATAAAAAAGGATATAGTGTATATATATAAATATATACATTATAATATATTTATATAATTTATATATAAAGTAAATACTTTATTTTTATCTCCTAATTGTCTTTCCATTAAACTTTGAAATTCTATATAAAAATATGTGAACCTCGTTTTTCACAAGGCTGAACAGGATATAAAGCATGTGCAAGAAGGGGCTGTGTGAATGCCAGCGCGATAATATTCCCGGTTTACCAGCTAAAAGGAAGCTAAAATTAGGATATATGAGTGTCTTCCACCGAGGGAACAGAAATAAATTGTCCTATTGTCAAGAGAAGGGAGTGGGGAATCTCCCGTCTCTGCCCTTGACTTTGACCCCTCTGCCTTTTCTCCCTGGTGTCACCCCCAGCTTTTCATCCCGTCCTTTACCTTGCTCCGTCTCTACACGGGGAACAATAGGAGCGGAGCTGTCGAGTTAAATGGCAATTTACAGCTGAAACAAAGGGGCCGGGGTTTTACAGCACGGCCTCCGGCAGCCCATTAAATGGAAACAAACCACTGATCTCATTAGTGAGCGCTCCCCAGGCACGGCCCCGCCCGGAGCTGCGCTGCTCTGCAAGGCGGAGGATGCGAGATTTTGGAAAGGAAATACGGGAAATACCCGATTTGTCTTTTGTCAGAACGGTTTTTGTCTTCCCTTCCCTTCCCTTCCCTTCCCTTCCCTTCCCTTCCCTTCCCTTCCCTTCCCTTC